TCACAAATCCCTTTAGTCATGCCTCTGAACTCGGCTTCTGCACTGGATAAAGCTACTACATTATGTTTCTTACTCCTCCATATCACCAAATTACCTCTCACGAATGTGAAGTAACCCGATGTGGATTTTCTATCTGTTACATTACTTGCCCAATCTGCATCTGAATAACCATCAATATTTAGATGACCATGCTTTGAGAACATAAGTCCTTTTCCAGGCGCAGACTTCAAATATCTAAGTATCCGAAGAACTGCATTCATGTGGTCTTCACTTGGAGAGTGCATAAATTGACTGACAACGCTCACTGCATAAGCAATGTCTGGTCGAGTATGTGACAAATAGATCAATCTTCCCACTAACCTTTGGTATCTTTCTTTGTTAGTTGGAACTTGATTCGGATATTCTCCAAGATGATGATTCTGAACAATAGGAGTGTCCGCAGGTTTGCAATCTAGCATTCCTGTGTCTGTCAACAAGTCTAAGACATATTCCCTTTGAAAGAGAAATATACCTTGCTGCGATCGAGCCACCTTAATTCCCAAGAAATACTTGAGTCCACCTAGATCCTTCATCTTAAACTCCGTAGCCAAATAGTCTTGTAGCTGTGATATTTCTTGTTTATCATTCCTAGTAATAATCATATCATCAACATAGATTATTAATATTGTTACCTTCCCTTTCCGATGTTTTAAGAATAGAGTATGATCTGAGTTGCACTGTTTGAAACCATTGTTCTTCATAGCCATGGTAAACCGTCCAAACCATTCACGTGGTAACTGTTTCAATCCATACAATGTTTTTCGTAACCTCCAGTCTGAGTAATATTATATCTAGGAGGGATGTCCATGTACACCTCCTCCGTGAGTTCATCATATAGAAAAGCATTTTTTACATCAAACTGGTGCAGTGACCAATCTAAATTAGTTGTAAGGGGCAATAAGACTCTGACGGTGTTTAACTTTGCAACTGGAGCAAATATTTCTTAATAGTCTATATCATAGGTCTGTGTGTACCCTTTTACCACAAGTCTTGCCTTGTATCGCTCGATAGATCCATCTGCATTGTGTTTTATAGTAAACACCCATCTACATCCGATAGTCTTTTTTCCTTGTGGTATAGTCTTCAATGTTCAAGTATGATTTTTCTCAAGAGCTTTCATCTCCTCTTTAATAGCTTGGACCCACTTAGGATCTTTCAATGCTTCAGAGATCTTGGTTGGAATATGGATAGTAGACAACTGGTGCACAAAAGCCTTGAGTGGTTTTGATAGCTTCTCAGTGGATACATGATTTGCAATTGGATACTTGGATGTCTTGCCAATATCAGGTGAATAACGGTTTGGTGGCTTTCCACGATTTTGCCTGAAAGGTAATTGATATCAAATAGTTTTATCATCTAAATACACAAGTCTAGTAGGAGTAATTACCTCTATGATATTCTCAGGAGATTGGTCTATTGGTACTGTTGAGTTAGAATGGTGGTCTTCATCTTGTTGTTTTGTATTGTCTGTAGGTGTGAGACTTGGATCAGAAATATCTTCACATGGATCAGGTGGGTCAGTCAATTGATCTCCGGCAGAGAGTAATCTCATGCTCCAGACTCGGGACGATCGATCATTTTCGTACAGAGGAGAATTTCTTCGTTTTCCAAGTTGTTCCAATTATGATATTCACTTCGTATCTCCTCCTGAAGCGTAGAATTGGATAATGGGTCATGGAAGAACATCTCAGATTCCATAAAGGTCACATTCAAAGTGACATAGGTATGTTGGGTATGAGAGTGATAATAGCTGTAGCCTTCTGATGAGTGGCATAACTCACAAAAACACAACGAAGCGCATAGGGATCAAGTTTGCTACGTTGATTTTTGTGGAGATGAACGAAAGCCACACATTCAAAGATTCGGGGTGTGAGTACCAAAACATAGGGCAGAGGTCTGTATTGAGCAAGCACCTGTAAGGGAGTTTTAAAAGTCAATACACCAGAAGGCATGCGGTTGATTAGGTGAACTGCGGTGACAATAGCATCATCCCAGTGATGGCGAGGAACATGAGCACCAATCAGAAGTGCTCGAGCGGTTTCAAGAAGATGTCGATTTTTTCGTTCAGCAACACCATTTTGTTGCGGTATTTGAGAACAAGTCGTCTCATGGATAATTCCATGTTGTTGAAAGTAAGTTTGAAAGTCATGATTGACAAATTCTCTACCATTTTCTAAGCGAAGAATCTGGATTTGAGCATTAAACTGAATTTTCATCTGTTTGTGGAAGGATTGAAAACGGGAAAACACTTCGTTTTTATTCTTTAGCAAATACAGCCATGTCATTCGTGTACAATATCTATGAATGTGACAAATCATCGAACACCAGAAGGAGCAGTGATAGGGGAATGTCCCCAGACATCAGAGTGAATTAACGTAAATGAAGTAGTACACTTGTTTGTACTCAACGGGTAGGGCACACGGTGACTCTTGGCCAAAATACAAGTATTACATGTGAAGTCAGAGTCCTTGAAACCTGAGAATAAATCTGGTATAAGATGCTTCATATAACTAAAAGATAGATGTCCCAATCGACGGTGCTACAACCATATTTACTTTTGTTTGCTATCAAAGGGATAAGTCACACTGTTAGCCACGCCGGGACTGAAGTCATCGACATAATATAGCCCCCTCTCTTAGTACCACGACCAAGAATCTCCTTAGTGTGAATATCCTGAAGCAAACAAAAACTTGAGTAAATGAGTACACAACAATTCAATTGTTCAGTAAGCTGACTAACTGACAACAATTTAGTGGATAAATATAGAACAAGTAAGGTATTAGACAGTGTGAGCGAGGATGAGAGTGCAACAGTTCAGCCCCCGTCACAGGATAAGTAACGCCATTGGCATTTGCAATACAGGTTCGTTGAGGTTGTGTAGTATTCAGAAAATCATCAGGATCAAACGTCATATGATCAGTTGCACCGGAATCAATTATCTAGCTCCTGGAATCAATCTTATCAGAAGTATGGAATCCATAACTAGTACCATTACTGGTCGTATTACATTGTCTTCGATCTTTAAGAGTAGCCCACCAATCTGGGTAGCCATACAATTTAAAACAAGTCTCATGAGTGTGTCTCGGATCACCACAATATGTGCAATCTGGTCCATGTGTCGGGGTCGTTAGTCGAGAAGTCATAATCTGTACAACGGAAGATGCATATGATATAAGTTGAGT